GAAGAGGACGCAGGTCTTGCCCACGCCCGAGTCGCCGATCAGCAGCAGCTTGAAGAGCAGGTCGTAGGTTTTCTTCGCCATCGGGGACCCCCCCGCGCCAAGCGCTCCCGCCGCCCACGCCCGACCACGACCACGACGAGGACGACGCCTCCTCGCCAGGCTCCGCCGCCTCGCCTCGCCTCGCCTCTTCCCTGGCCCGGCCCGGCCCTCCTCTCCCGGCCTGGCCCACAAGGCCCCTGGCCGGCAACCGAGAGAGTGCGGGAGAGCGCGCGCGAGGGGGGAGAGAGAGAGAGAGCGGGCGGGCACGCGCACAGGCCGGGGGGAGCCTTCTTTCTCTCTCGCTTTCTTTCCTTCCTTCCCCTCCCCCCCTTTAACCCCGCTTCCAACGCAGGGGAGGCACAAAATGGCGGCCCCGGAGGCAGAAGCCGGGCCGGGTTCGGCGGCGCCGGAGCGGAAGATCCCCTCACGGGTGGGCGGCGGCAAGGCAAGCAAGCGCGTGCTCGCTCCTGAGGGAGGGAAGGGAGCGAGCAGGCCTCACGCACAGAGGGACGAGGACGGTGCTGCGCACGCGCAAGGCCGCGAGAAGGAAGGCGAGGGGAAGGAAGAGGAGAGAGCGCGCGCCCGCTGGCTGGCCGGCTGGCTGTCTCGCCGGCCGCTCCCTTTCCTGCTCGCTCCCGCCGCTCGGCAAGCAAGCGCGTGCTCGCTCCTGAGGGAGGGAAGGGAGCGAGCAGGCCTCACGCACAGAGGGACGAGGACGGTGCTGCGCACGCGCAAGGCCGCGAGAAGGAAGGCGAGGGGAAGGAAGAGGAGAGAGCGCGCGCCCGCTGGCTGGCCGGCTGGCTGTCTCGCCGGCCGCTCCCTTTCCTGCTCGCTCCCGCCGCTCGCACGCATGCGCAAAGCGCCGCGTCTGGGGCGAGTCCGGCTCACGGGAGGGCCTTTCTACGCGTGCGCAAACAGAAGGGGGCCAGGACTGCATGCACGGCAGCGTGCGTGAGTGCGTAAGGACGCACGGGCGCCTCCAATGGCGCGGCCGCCAAGTGACGCTAGCAGCGGCCGCTCGAGCTCGCGGATCGGAGGGCAGAGACAGAGAGGAGTGGGCGTGGCCAGGCAGGGCCCAAGCCGGCCCCTTTTTTCTTTCTCTTGCCCGGCGCGCGCCCCCGAGGGGAGAGGCGGGGCTTCCCGCCCATCTGCCCCTCTCCCATTGGCTGAGACCGCCCGGCGACCCTGAGGAGCTACCGGCCGGGATCGAGCATGCGCAAACGAGAGAGCGCGCCACGTGCTTGCCTGGGTCGCGCCCCGTCTTTGCTTTCCTGGGCGGTGGGAGCGCTGGCTGGTGAGGCGCTTTTGAGTTCGTTTCCCCGGGAGAAGAGACCGAGTTTGCAGCTAGGACAAGTTACTTTCTCGTCCGCCAGCCCTCGGAATTCCCAGGCCAGCTTTTTCCAAAGCCACCTGCTGGAAGCCCTAGTGCCTGATCATAATAACACTGCAATCCAGGGTTGGTAGCTGGAGCCCGATCATAATAATACTGCAATAGCATTCATATTATTGTTAATAATATAGAATAGTATTGCTATGGTCACTATTATTACTACAGTACTACTACTGTTACAGTATTATTGCTCACCAGATTAAGAAGAAGAAGAAGCATTTCCTACTAATTCCCACTCCTTCAGTGATGTTGTAAAGTAAGATCTGCTGAAGAAAAATCTTGTTTTTTTTTCTGGGTACTTAGAAATGGGCCGGCGTGTTTGGCCAAGTCTTAGGAACATTGCCCTGCCCAGCCGAAGAAGCTGGCCGTCTTTGCCCCATTTTTGGGGTTCTGACCCCGGAATGTGAGCTCATCCAGTGTCTTCAGCAGGAGCAGACTAAGCTGTTGAAATGTTTTCGGTCAGCAGAGAGGGAGAAGCTCCTCTAGAAAACACAGAAGAGTGTTCCAAGGTCTCGGGCTTGTCCCTGACTGCTTCAAGCTTTCCAAAGACCCTCCTCTCCAGAACTTTCTGGACCATTTCTACACATGTTCTATCAAAACATTAGTGTGGAGGATCCCTGGGAGAGTTCTGTTGCCCTGGAGAAGCTCATGACCTGGTGGGGTTTAGACTCACTGGAATGGAGAGCCTCTGCAGGGATGGGTGTAGGATGATTTGCAGAAGGAGGCTGATGGTTTCCTGATGGCTCCTGCAGAATTCCCTGTCACCTCAGCAGGCAATTCTGACCAAGCCCTGGCTGACTTCTGGGATGGGGAAATGGCCAAGGTACTGTTGCTCCTGAGCATCCCGTCTCCCATGGGTTGGAGCTGGACTAGTTCCATGGTGTTCTTGAGGGCTGGTGGGGATGAAGTGAGTGGGAGTTCAGCGATGGATGAAAACCTTGAGCAAATCTGACCAAACGTGGGTTAGAGCTTGTTGGAAGGTCTCCTCCGTGGCAGGGGCGGCAGCCAATAAGTCTTCCTGTTTTGCCACCATTGCATGTGCACGGAAGGATTCCAGCGTGGCTATCGTGGGTGGTCAGCCTACTGGTGAAGAATGTCCTTGAACTCCTTGCACATAAGACCACTCTGACCTGCTCTGACATGAATGCTGCAGTTGGAGCTGTACCGTTGATGTAATAAATGGAATACAGTACCTAAATAAACGTTGGCCTTTGCTTACCCTGAGGATGTGGACAGGACCTTTGGAGAGATGACACCCACCACCTGTGTGCGTAATAAATGGAATACAGTACCTAAATAAATGTTGGCCTTTGCTTACCCTGAGGATGCGGACAGGACCTTTGGAGAGTTGACACCCACCACCTATGTGCTAGACCCTTTGCCCTTCCTGGCTTATAACAACAGCTCAGTAGGAAGTGGGTGACTGGAGTAGTGAAGGCTTCCTTAGAGCAAGGCGAGAAGCACCATGCCTGAAGGAGGCATTAATAATGCCTTTATTTTTAAAAGCCCTTTTTGGATTCCACTGTATCGAGTACATCCACACTGCGCAGGAACCTTGCCCATGTGCGCACCAGGTCAGGGGTTCATCTGAAACCAGAATGCAAAAAGGTATCAACACTAGCTGCCACTGGGCGGTGTCGGTGGTGCTTCCTGGCTTATAACGACAGCTCAGTAGGAAGTGGGTGACTGGAGTGGTGAAGGCTTCCTTAGAGCAAGGCGAGAACCACCATGCCTGAAGGAGGCATTAATAATGCCTTTATTTTAAAAAGCCCTTTTTGGATTCCACTGTATCGAGTAATTAACAGTCAGCAATGTTCCCTCTGTTTTACATCCACACTGCGCAGGAACCTTGCCCATGTGCGCACCAGGCCAGGGGTTCATCTGAAACCAGGATGCAAACAGGTATTAACACTAGCTGCCACTGGGCGGTGTCAATGGTGCACTGTGCACACATGCGCGGACACATCTTAGAGGGAATGTTGACATTATTCAATATCCCATTTGGGGGCAAGGTTGTGGATTCTGTGGTAGTTTCTCACCTCCAGGGATTTCTAGATCCGTTTCAGTCTGACTTCAGGGCTGATCATGGGACAGAGATGAGTTTGGTCACCTTGGTGGATGATCTACCTTGGAAGCCGAGCCAGAGGAATGTGTCGGCTCTGCAGGCCATCTCGGCAGCTTTTGATCCGGAGACCTTTTGAATTAATTGTCTTGAGGAACACGGAGGCACTAATTCAGAGGGAATCCCATCACCTTCTAGCTTTCACGTGTTAGCAGAGCGAACGGGCCAGGATGAATCCATTGTGTGGATTTATCCCTTGAATATTGAAACATTGAGCCAAGCACGTGTTCCTATTTGGAAAGAAGTCACGTCCGCACTTCTTATTCAGAGGAAAGGAGAAAGCTAGCATTCGTTCGAGAAATAAAGTACAGTGAGATTGGGAAGGTGATAGGAAGCCTTGTTTTATCTGAGGAAAGGGGAAGTTGGTGGGAAGGGACTGCCCCCCCCACCTTTCAGGAAGGAAGGGAAAGAGTCATAGAGAGAGTCAATGAGGAAGGAGGTAGCAACCCTAACCCCAAAAATGTCAGATGAGGCCAAGACATGATCGGCAGAGGTCAAGGTCTGTTTAGGAAACCCAAACAGGTCCTTATTATTATTATTCTCTCGCGATTGATTGAATGAATGAATGAATGAATGAATGAATTCATACCCTGCTCCATCTGGCAACCAGGCCATTCTGGGTGGCTAACAACAATATAAGCAACAATATTAAAACATGATAAAAAATAAATTAATACAAAGCCAAATAGGGTAAATTAAAACAGATGGCGCTGAAGGTGGTAAAAAGGGTGATGAGGAGGATGGCAAAAGGATGGTTAAAGGGAGGCCGTCTTCAGTGCTCGTCTTTGAACCCATCCAGTGAGGGTGCCAGGCGGATTTTGGCAGGCAGGTGGTTCCCCCATCCAGTGAGGGTGCCAGGCGGATTTCGGCAGGCAGGTGGTTCTATAGGTGGGGGGCGACCGCTGAGAAGGACCAGTTTCTATTTCTTTCCCTCTGGGCCTCCTTCGGGGTCAAGGCCCTCAACCGCCTTGCCTATGAAGAATGGGTACAGTATGACGTACAGATCTGGCTGGGAGCAGGTATTCTGATTGATACCGAGGTCCTAAACCGTTGAGGGCTTTGAATGTTGTCATCATAAGCTTGAAGCCGATGCTTTCTTCCTTTTCTTTCTCCTTCTATTTCATGCACAGACACAAATCCTCTTCCATGTTAGCTGAGTTGCACCCCATCACCAGCCCTCCTATATTCGCTTAATGAGACACGGTTGACTCCATCTGGCTACTGCTAAAGAGCTGGTCCTGCCAACGCAAGGAGGGGCAGCCAGGATAGAAGGGCCTCCTCCTGTTTTTTCTTCGTGGTGTCTGACCGATGGCCATTTATACTGAGGACCTGCCGAGCAGCGTCCCACTCTTGGCATATCTTCCCTGTGCCATATAGCTTGGCTGACTTACACAAACCACCCCAAGGAGTTTGCAGCGTCTTGACTCACCGGATGCGGTCAGAACAAAGGGCAGCTGGACAAGGCAAGACACAGGGGCTTGGTGGCGTCTGCAGGGCTGCCGGGCTGCCAGCCAAAGAGGAGGGGACGGC